GTGCTCGCGGGGCGCGGGCCCCCCTTGCAGGGCGATCGCGCGCGGCGAGCTGCGCGCGCTGTCCGACCGACGCTGAAGCGCGCGGCCGACGCATTGGCGCGTGCGACGACATGCCGCAACGCTTAGCCGCTACGGCCACGGCGAAACTGGATTTCGCGCGGCCGCTGCGCCCGCGCACGGACCTGGCGGCGTCGAGATGGCAGGCGCTTCTGCCGACGCAAGCATAGATTCCATGGTCCCAGCAAGCGGGGGCACGCTGACCTGGCGCACCGCTGGGCCGCCATTCTGCATGTGAGCGAACGGGCGCTACAGCGCGGCGCGGCCCTGGTATCAACACAGGCCGAGGTATTGACGGCGACGTGGGCAGCCCTTTGGGGCGCGCATCAGGGGGGCGGCAGCTTCTCTTCGCCAGGGGGGCTCCGCTGGGCGGCGAGCTGAGTGGAAGTTTCTGCGGTGAGCCAACGGCGACGCTGGGCGACGCGGAGAACGCAGGCGATGCGACGGGGCGCTCGTCAGCTGCGCACCCGATACTTCCCCGATATAAACCCGATACATCCCCGATACATCCCCGATACATCCGAAACGCATGACGGCGCCCCCGTCAGCTGGACCTCATATGCAGTCCCGATACATCCCCGATACATCCCCGATACATCCCCGATACAAAACGGGACGCAACAGCCGCGTGCCCGATGCGTCGTCAATGCATACCCGCCACAAGCGCGCGTGCTCCCGATACATCCCCGATACATCCCCGATACATCCCCGATACAAGCGCGCGCGCTCCCGATGCGCCCCCGATACATCCCCGATACATCCCCGATGCAAACGCGCGCGTCCCCGATGCATCCCCGATACAACCCCGATACATCCCCGATACATCCCCGATACATCGCCGACGCGCCGACCGCGCGCGCATGACATTCGCCGACGCGCCCGCGATGCACTCCCGATACATCCCCGATACATTCCCGATACATTCCCGATACATCCAATGGGCGCCAGCGATGCGCCCCAGCGCCACGCCGCCTTGCCTGCCTGACGCAAACGAGGTGGATCACCAAGCTGTCGTCGACGAGGCGCGCGTTGATCAGCGCCGCGCCGCGACCAACGCGCGCTCGCCAAGACCTTTGCGCGCGCGCGAACCCTGCGTAGCGAATCTAAGCGCGCGCCGCGTCTTTAAGCAATTTCTAAATTTGTCGCGGCATGAAATCTAAACAAACCTGCGTCGTTTGGGCAGGCGCGCGTTTCAACGTCCATTGCCGCGGGCGGGCGGGCCCCGCATCCTGAATTGAGCGCGCCCGCGCGGCGATGTGCCATGCTGCAATGCATGCTTACTCTTCGGTGCACGTACAATCCAGAACCGTTCGCGCAACGGCGGGGGCGCGCCCTTTGAACGGGCTCCCACTTCCTCGGTGCAAACACGTCCAGCGCGCGAGTGCCGCAGCTGGGCGTCAAAACGCAAGCGACCGCACATGTCGCAGGATGGCGGCCAACGCTTCAGTAAATGAGTTCGCTCCACAGGACACCCCGACTACTCAAGGAAGACGATCTGGGTCTATCTCGCGCGTTTTCCCAACGCGCGGTTTAAACTTTAAGTTTTCAGTTTGGTTAAACTTCACATATAGATCAGGGTTTGGAGTTAGGCGATAGCCAATTATCGACTGACAACCCTCCGCTATGCAACCATTGAGTTTGCACCGCCACATCGTCGCCTACCTCCTGCTCCCCAGTGCATCGTCACCTACGTCCTCTCCTCCTCTCCTCCTCTCCTTCCCTCCCTCTCCCGCACCCCCCTCTCCTCCTCCTCTTCCTGGGGAAAGGGCGCTGCGGAACCCACGGATAGGCAAGGTGCTCGCATCCATGTCCATCCCTACCTCGGAAACAAACCGAGCGGCTTGCTGCCCCAAGGAGCCTTAAACTACATCGCCAGGGAGATCGCAGGCTGATTGGCAGCTCAGCGGATCGAATGTCATTATACGGGCAACTCTGGTTCCCTGGTGGCAAATCGTGCGATGGTGATGTCAGGCGATGGTGGTGGCGAGATGTTTTGTGTTTTTCTCACAGCCAACCCTTCTCTGCGCAATACGCGCGCAACTGTGCAACAGTGGGCTTGGGATCCTTGATGTGATCCGCTGCCGTGTCGTACAACTGAGCGTTCCTCGCCCAGATCCCGAGGTAAGCATAGATCTCTGAGACTCCAAAATGCGTCCTCGAAGATGGAGCAGTCGTTCGCGATCTCGAGCACGGGTTCTTTGGACGGTAGTGGGTTGTTGTGCAGACAGGGCAAGTGATCGACCACCTGGAGTAGCTCTGGTATTGATCGCTGTAAACCTCCTCGTGGATCCTGCAACCCTCGATGAAGCCCCCGTGGATCTTACCGATCGGGGCCGCTTGCCAGACTCCGCCGACGACGACGATGGGCGCCTCGGGAGCGGGCGCCTCTAGCCCAGGAAGTGGCGGCGGGGCCGCGGCGCCGACTGGGGAGTGGTCATCGTCACCTCCTGCGCCAGCATCACCGTGCGAACCAGCGGGCAGAGCCTCAGCAGCGAGCGAACCGAACACCTGAGGAGGGCGACAGCGGCCCGCGCCACATCACACGCGATCCTGAGAACACTGGGGAAGGAGAGATCGGGGAGGGGAGGGCGTGATAGGGGAGTGGGCGGTGAAAGGGGATGGTGGATAACATTGAAGGTGGCACGAGGCGCTGCCCCCCTCCAGGCCACCTGGATGGCCGCCGCCCCGCCGCCAGCTGGTGGCAGAGGAGCTGGCCGAGCTTCGACTGCAGCGCCCATGACGTGAATCGGCACCCCGACGCCGTCAGCGTCGATCACGACGTCCGCCAAGCTACCGCAGCCGCCAGACTTCAACGCCCTGCGATAGAAGTCAGCACCACGGTTAGGCGGAGTCTTCGGGTCAACGTTGAGGAGGCATCGGTAGTACTGCTCAACCTGGTCAGCGTAGATGGCGTCGCACCCTCGGTCCTGCAGGGACGCCGCATCCAACAGACAAAGAAGGTAAGACTTCCTAGCGACAACGTCTTTCATACTGAGCTTCTTGTCATCGATCGGCAGCCGATGGTGGTCTGGCTTTCCTTCGGTCCACCCTTCATCCTTCAAGCGGCCTAACATCGCCACAGCTGGGCATGTCCCAGGGTCCCAAGGCAGAGGTATGAGGCCATTCCAATGCACGGGCTTAGAGACGTCAAGACAGCCGTCGACATCAGACGGGCGCCGCTCGGCCCACATGTGCAGTGAGTCCCTCAGCTTCACCCAAGACGTCATCGCGGTCATGTCCATGACGGTCGGGTCTCCTCGAGACGGCTGAAGGGTAAGATGCGCTGGTGCTTGTTGCAATGGCCCTGCCCCGTGCAAAACCCATTTCCTGACCATGGCAGGGCAGAACATCGACGACGTGTCGTAAGCCTCGGGGACCCTCTTCCCATTTGGGTTCATGTCGATAACCTCGAAGACCTCCAACTCGCGCACAGCGTCGCCGCTCTCGCCATCGTCAATCGCAGTCGAGCTTCGGGCCTCCTCGATCTTATCGGGATGCGTGCGGACGGAGTACAGCTGACGAGGCTTAATCAGAGAAGAAATGAAATCTTTCTTGATCTTGGCGAAGAGCGCTGAAGCCTGCGCCCGTCGAGCGCGCGGCTGGCCACTGACGTGCGACCTGAGCTCGCCCCAATCCTGTTGGGAATGCCATCCGTATCGGTAAACCTGGGCGCAGTAAGCAGCATCTGAAACACGTTTGGGCACTAGCGCGCCCCTCCTCCCCGTCTTACTTTGCAGCACAGCCTTGTGCTTGTTCCAGTAAGCGTGGGGCTTGTCTGCCCACCCAAGAGAACAATAAAGGTCGTATTCCGTCAAATTCTGGTTCAAACGCACTCCACTGGCCTTGAATCGAAAAGACGACCCTGTAGATGCCGTCGCAATGCGGGCCAGCTGCCCGTGAACTGCCTCAGCGCTAGCCCCGTCGAACTTCGCGTACTCGAGTGCTTTGATCTCGGCGTCAAGTCGAGACGACATCCCGCGGCCCTCGCAGTGGTCGATGAAGTCGGCGCTGAGATCGCCCTCGCACCACCTGACGGCCACGCGGTGATGCTGCGAGCCATCCGCCACGCCCCGACGATACAGGCCCAGCAGTTCTCGAGCAATCGCTGGATCCCGAGCCTCCCAGAAGCGATATGGCAAATGATCTAAGAACTTGAACTTGTGTTTGGCCACGCCCAAGAGATGGCTGTACGCCGCATGAACAGCACGGTAGATCTCGCCCGTCGGGTCGTCATCGGAAGTCGTGCGGAGGGCAGTCTGGTTGTCCCGCCACCTGGCAAAAGTATCCTGGAGCCTCTGTCGAATCTGAGGGCCTCTGCACGACTTCCGATTGTTTGGGCACTTGAAGGTCATGCCCTTCCTGGCGTGCTCGATGCACTCCTCCTCGTGGCACGGGCAGCCTTGCATCCAGCTCCTCTCAACGTCGATGTCCTGGCCGAGGTCGCAGACGACGTTGAGCTTGGCCCAGAAAGAACCGTCCCGAGCAATGGCATCAACTCTCCTGGCATCGGGGCCTTGCGTGGGCATCCGATCTAATCTCCAGCTGCAATGGAAGCCAGTGCCCATGGCTAGGATGTCTGCCGCTGCAGCAGAAACTGTACCCCATCGCAACTTGAAGCACGACCGAGGGGCCCTGGCAAATTTCTGGGCCTCGGTCGGAAGCAATTCCTCCAAAACGCGACGTAAAATACCTCGGTGTCCGTCGTCGCGGAGGAAGGCGACCAAGTGGTTCAAATCGCCAAAGAAGGCGTCCCACCACTCCATGCCGTTAAACACAGTCCTGAGAATGAGATCCCAAACGTGATTTCCCTCCGGTAGCCAAAACGCGTTCGGGAACAAAAACGCGTCAGACAGATCAGCAGCAGACACATGCGCTGCCTCACCCTTCAGAAAAGCCTTGGTAAAATCTTTGAAATCGATGACGTGACTTTCCGTACCACTGTCTGGGGATACCACCCGAACGGATTCACACCAATGCCTGATCCACAATTCTTTATAGCCGCTCTCTAAGGCGATGGTGTGCAGGACGGCGACAGCCTTATCTGCGGCCGTGAAGTGGCCCACGCCAAGAGTGCAGACAGGCAGCGTGCGAAACTGTGCCGTGGTCATGTCGGCATGCTGATGGCAAAACTCACGAACTGAGAACAACTCGATGCCCCTCTGAGGGCTTGCGTCGTACCACAGCTGCCGCATCCAGCCGCCCTGCCGATTCAGAACCTGTCGTAACAACATCATGGTACTATCAAGCCTGAGACGTGCTTTCACTGAAGTCTTCTCCGACGGAGCTGCAAAATCATCTTTTGTTATTTTTTCAATCACCTGCGCGGACTCCCCAGGCAGTGCGAACTCCAAACATCTCTGAACGTGTTCCTGCATGTGTTTGATACTCTTGATGCCCGTCTGAACCTTGAGCGACCGAATTAAATGAGCAGGTGCGAATCTCCTTCCTCTTACAGCATCTCGCCGACCGACTACGTGCAACGCGTACTTACGATCGTCCTGAGGTTGCTCGGCGTCGCTTCCTCTTTGACGAGGAGGCGCCTTCTGGGTTCCAAGGTAAGCCAACACCACGTGATCAGAGAGAAGCGAAGGGAAGAACACATCACGCACCCGCTCGCGAAATATCAGCTGATACAAATCAAACCCCAGAAGACCGCGTGCATGCATGACCGCCAGGGTTGGATGAACAAGCCATTTCTGCGGCTTCCCCAGGAAACCGTCCAGGTCGTACTTTGACCTCCAGCGGGTGAACAACTCCTGTGCCGAGGGGTTCTGTGCATCACCGTGCGCGTGCCCATGTTGATCGATGGCGTGCTGGCAAACATGCACACGGATGGAAGCATCAAACCATTCAGCGAAACCCACCGCGAATTCTCCAGAACTCAAATCTCCGAGGCCCTGGGGAAGCTCAATGGGGACGTCCAGAAACGCTGACTCCTGGATCGGCACACTCTGATACCCAAACCTCTGCGTTCGCCGATCTCTCTTCGATTCGAACTCTTTCATGAAATATCGTTGCATGGTCGCATCATTTTCGGTACACACATCTGACGCATCATCTCCAACGCTCAACAACTTGAATGATCTGACGACGGCGAAACCATACAGCCTTACAACATCTGTGTCGTCGCATGGAATATCGACCGAAAAGCGCTCTAACACCTCACATCCGAAGGCCCCCACGTTTGTTGTATGCGACCCGCGGGAGCTCAACTTGAAACACTGTGACCACCTGCCTAACTGAGAACCCAAAACGGCAACAATCAAAAACGGAGCAACACGATCTGCATCTGTTCGTCTCCTCTTCCCGCTGCGAGGTGTTGAACGAGACGCTGCCGCAGCGGGTCGGTGCGAGTCATCACAAAATGAGCCAAGCACAACGATTCCATCGGCCATCTGAGAATCAAGAAAGAAGCCGAAACTACATTGGAGCCCCAATTGTTATGGAAAACAAAGAGCCGACATGGTTACGGAACACATTGGGCGACATAAGTGTCCTTTGTGATTCACCTGGGCACATGCTTTCGGGTTCCCGACGGTGCGGCAATGACACATGAGCGCTTCCGAAAGGACACGGGCGAGCGGCCTTCGGACCCGAACTAACCAGGGGGGAGGGGATCAAAGAGACCATGTAAGGAGAGACGCACGGGGCGATTACAAGAGGCATCCCCGAACCTATCAGAAAGACACAACTGAAAGACATCGTGAAACACCCCCTTCACTTAACGATGATTGCCTGAACCGCTTACTCCGTGGAGCGTCTAATCACATCCGTGTTCCTCTTCGTCCTCTTCTTGCTCCTTCGTGTTCTCGTCCTCCGCTTCCGCCTCCGCCTCCGCCTCCTCCTCCTCCGCCTCCTCCTCCTCCTCCCTGTTCCTCCTCCTCCTCCTCCTCCCTGCTGTTCCTCCCTCATCCTCCCTCCTCTTCCCTCCTCATCCTGTTCCTCCTCCTATCTTCGTTGCATGTAATCCTACGCCCGAAGACGTAAGGCTAATCCTTGGCCGACGCTCTTGGGGCGGCGCCGATGGATGCTGCTCGAGTCCTCTGACGCCGAAATTTTCGGCCCAGCTCCAAACGAGGGTTTGACGCAACTGCGCCGCTTCTCATTTCTAGCCCTCCTGGAAGGTCAGGGTAGGAGGCAGCTCCTGGGAGGTTGTCGCCGGAAAGATTGAAAAACTATTAAACCCAATTGGGGGCTGTTGCGCCGGAGTGGGCCTCGGATCAAGCGGGATTAAGCCGGATTGAACGGGATTAAGCGGGATTAAGCCGGATTAAGCGGGATTAAGCCGGACTTCGAACCAGGGCAAAATCAGAATTTTACCTCCCAGGAGTTGCATCCGAAGGGGGGGGGCGCTATTTTCTAGCCCTCCTGGAAGGTAATTCCACTGACCCCCGACACCGCGTGCGCGGCGGGGGCCCCGCGCGCCTCCGCGGCGGGGACCCCTGCCGCCGCCCGGGGGGCCGCGGCCCGGCGCCGCGCCCGCCGCACCCGCCACGCCCGCCCTGGCCAGGGGCGTCGGCCTTGCGCGGCTCCGCCGCCGGCGCGGCCGCCGCCGCCGCTGCCGACGCGACCACGACGACGACGACGACGACGACGACGACGACGACGACGACGACGACGAAAACGACGACGACGAAAACGACGACGACGACGACGGCGACAACTTCGAACTTCAAGGTTCGAGGTGCAGGGCGGCTGTTCGCAATCTTCGGCCCCTGGGGGCCATCTTCGGGCCCCCGGGGCCCCCGAAACTCGATCCGGGATGACAACCAGCGCAGGATGCACGGGAGGAGGAGGAGGAGGAGGAGGAGGACGAGGAGGAGGACGAGGAGGAGGACGAGGAGGAGGAGGAGGAGGAGGAGGCGGAGGAGGAGGGGGGGGAGGAGGAGGCGGAGGCGGAGGCGGAGGCGGAGGAGGAGGAGGAGGAGGAGGAGGAGGAGGAGGAGGAGGAGGAGGAGGAGGAGGAGGAGGAGGAGGAGTCGGGGTCCCCCTCGATCGTCGAACATCCCCGATCCTCGAGCCCCCTCGACCACACACCACCCCCGACTCGGGAAGCCGAAAGGTACAGATGCCGCTCCCCCCCCCCGGACCTCTCGGCTGGGGCGCGCCCTGACCAGAACTTCGAGGCGAGTCCAGCGGTGGCGACGAGGGCCGCCCAGGCGGCCCCAACAGAGGAAAACGAGCGAAGGGTAGAGGTCCCTGACCTTCCAGAGCGCTCAAAACTAGCACTCCAGACCTATAGATCTGTCTGGACTGCCTCAAACCTCGACAGGAATCGGGACGTCGACGTCCTGGTGCTATTTGTTAGCCCTCCTGGAAGGTCAGGGGTATGGGTACCTGTTCCTCCTCTGACCCATCGCTCGACCCCCCTCTCGACCCTCGGCCCTCCTTTCCCCGATGTTCCCCCGCCCTCCCCGGCCGTCGGCCACCTCCTCGCGCCTCGGGCCCCGCACCTCCTCGGGCACGGCCGCCCTCCCCGATCGCTCGATCCTGCTCGACCTCCCCGACCTCCGCGACCTCCTCGACTTTCTCTGCGGGCGCTCCTCGCCTCGACCTCGACCTGCTCGACCTCCTCCCGCCTCGGCCTCCTCGAGCCTCCTTCGCTCGAGCGAGCCTCGACCTCCTCGACCTCCTCGGGCGCTGCGCGGTGGGCCTGGGCCGACCAGAGCCGCTGGCGCCCCTCCTGGCGGGGGGGGGGAGAAGGGGCAGGGGGGAGGGCCTTGAGCAGGGGCCGACCGTCCCGGCACTCCTCTGGGCCGACCACGACATGATCCTGGCACCCCAGAAAAGCTCTCTGAAGAAAAACAGTGCTCTCAGAGCATGGACCTGACGTGTTGAAAGAAGCCAGGCTCGGCCAGCAACGTGCTAAGAGCATTTCTTGCAGACCACAAGATATTGGGCGAGCCCGGCCGCTTCGCCAACGCCTGAGAGGGGCGGCCGCCCCATGGGAACGGCACGAGGCGGGGGCATATCTAAGTCGGGCCTGTCCCCCTACAGGGGGATTTTCGACGACAAGTAAACAATAGACAAACAATTCTCCAAAATTGTCAAAAATACCCATAAAAATAGTCCCCAGACTATTTTTGGACTATTTTTGAATATCCCTCTTGTTCGGGGGACAGGCCCGACTTAAGGGTATATCCATATCCACCGCCTGTGGAACCGACGTCCTCCGACCCCACAGAAACTTAAACTGTCCATAGACAGAAACTTTCGGCGCTCCGCGCGGATGTCTTGGATCTGCGCTGGACCTCCCCTCCCTGGTGCGCCTCGGGCGCCAGGGGCGGCGCCCGAAGTGCCGCCGGGGTGGCCTGGCGCGCATCCGAGAAACCCGCGCGGAGCGCCGAACGTTTCTTTTTATGGCGTTTTTTTCTCTTGCTTCGACCCCAGTAGGTGGTGGATGTGCGTATGTGTCGGCCCCAGGGGGCTCGGCTAGACCCATACAGTCGGCCTTGATTGGACAGGACGCGCGAGAGGACACAGGACACTTCCAGGGGCCACACTGCCATGATAATGTAGGAGGCATGGATCGCGAGATACAGGACACACGGGTACTCCTGATTTGGGAGGGTCGACCTCCTAATCTTAAGTCGTGCCTGTCCCCCTACAGAGGGATTTTCAACGAAAAATAACAAATACCCCCAACATAATCCAACAATAATCAAAACATAGCCTGGGGACTATTTTTGTTTGTATTTTTCTGCCGTTTCGGAGTATTATTGGAATATATTTTATTTTTCGTCGAAAATCCCCCTGTAGGGGAACACGCCCGACTTAATACTAATCTGGGCCGACTGTATCCACCACCTGCCGGGATCCCCCGAGACCGATCCCCCAGACCGTGTTCCGCGGCGCGCCGGGGGGGGGGGGGGGGGGGCGCGGAAGCGAGAGTGCGGGCCCCTCCGCCGGGGGTGGCTCGGACCCCCCCCCAGGCCTTCTGGAGAAGCCTCCCGCGCCTGCCCCGAAGACGCGGAAGACCTCCCAGAGGACCTCTCTGAGAAGCCCCGCGGCCCTCTGAGAAGACCTTCTCCTCCTCGCTTCCCCCTCCCCGGGGGAGCGCGCCCGAATGTGGCTCAGAATCGGTCCCCAGGGTCAGGTTGTTCCCATCCTACTTACGGACCACAGTCCCAAAAATAATTTCGAGCCCCCAGAGAAGTGTCGAAAGAGTGTCGAAACGGTGTCGAAACAGTGTCTCCCAGGGCCCGGCACGTGCAAACCCTCGAGTTTTGGGGTTCTTTTCTGGCGCTCGAAATTATTTCTGGTGGTCAAGGCGAAAGTTTTGAACGCCCGAGATGGGAACGGAAAGAATGGGTACAATGCCCAACAACAAATGTTGTCCCAAACCAACAGCGGCCGCTGTTGGGCAGGCGGCCTTCTGTCTCGAATGGACACAGGCCGAGGCGGCGTGGACAGCGAGCCCTGTTCAAAGTGAACAGGAACTGCTGCTGGGCATCGTACCCAGTCTTTCCGTACCCATTTCGGGCGTCCAGACAAGTAGGTTGGAACATCATAACCCCAGGGCCTTCCCGGAGGTCCATCCGACGCGGGCTGTCGCCCCGGATCGAGCTCCGGGGGCCTCGCGAGGGGCCCGAAGAGGGCCCCCCCGAGGCCGAAGACGACGCAGCACCGCCTCGCCAACCCCCGGGCCGCCTCGCCGCCTCGAACCGAAGCTCGCGCTTGGGACTCGCCCCCCCGCGCGCCGCCGCCCTGTAGAGGAAGACGCGGCGGCGTAGATCGGGGAACAACAAATGACGTAAACATAAAAACTCGGAGGCCCTCGGCATGCCCCCCTGCCGTAAGTTTGGCTCGGCGGTCATCCCGCACCGCAAGGATGAGCGACTTCCCAGGGCGACCCTTGCATCCTTAGATAGGGTAACGAAACATGACATAAGCACAAGAACTCGGAGGTCCGCGCGGATTTCTCGGATCGGCGCTGGGGCCCGCCGGCGACGCCTCCTCCTCCTCCTCCTCCTCCTCCTCCTCCTCCTCCTCCTCCCACTCCTCCTCCTCCTCCTCCTCCTCCTCCTCCTCCTCCTCCTCCTCCTCCCCTCCTCCTCCTCTTCATTATCCTCCTCCTCCTCCTCCTCCTCCTCCTCCTCCTCCTCCTCCTTCTCCTCCTCCCTCTCCTCCTCCCTCTCCTCCTCCTCCTCCTCCTCCTCTCCTCGGCCTCTAGCCTCCTCCTCCCTCCTCCTCCCTCCTCCTCCTCCTCTTCCCCCACCCACTCCTCCCTCCTCCTCCTCCTCGCCTCCTCGGCCTCCTCGGCCTCCCCTCACCCTTCCCCCTCCTCCTCCCTCCTCCCCTCCTCCTCCACCTCCTCCTCCTCCTCCTCCTCCTCCTCCTCCTTCTCCTCCGCCTCCTCCTCCTCCTCCTCCTCCCCTCCTCCTCCTCCTCCTCCCACACCTCCTCCTACTCCTCCTCCTCCTCCCTCCTCCTCCTCCTCGTCCTCCTCGGCCTCCTCCTCCTCCTCCTCCTCCTTCTCCTCCTCCTCCTCGGCCTCCTCGGCTCCTCCTCGGCCTCCTCGGCCTCCTCGCTCCTCCTCCTCCTCCTCCTCCTCCCTCCCCTCCTCCTCCTCCTCCTCCTCCTCCTCCTCCCTCCTCCTCCCCCTCCCCATCCTCCTCCTCCTCGGCCTCCTCCTCCTCGGCCGCCCCCGAAGAGGGCGAGTGACCTGCGGCCTGCGGCGGGGGGGGGGGCTCCGCGCCTCGGCCAGCTGCCGGAGCCGCGCGGCCAAGTCGGCCTGCAGGCCGGGCCCGATCCTCCGCACGGGCGCGCGGGACGCGGGCCTGGGCGGCCCCCGCTGCCGCCGTGGCCCAGAGCCTCCTCTCGGTGGCGAGCGAAGGGGGGAAGTGAGAAGGACAAGGCCTTCTCAGAAGGCAGCGGGGCTTCTAAGAAGCCCTCGCGCCTTCTGAAAGGTTGTTTGTCGTCTTCGGGGAAGCCTCAGGAAACTTTTCCGAAGGCCCAGGGACTTCCGAACCTTCTGAGAACGCCTTTTCCTCCTCACTTCCCCCCCTCGCTCACCGCCGATCCTCGCTGCGCGGGTCAACAGGGGTGCTTCGAAAAGTGCATATATATGTATGTATATACATATACACATATATATATATACTCATAGGTATATAGACTTCTATATATGTATATATGAATGTGTATATATATATATACAAGACTGCAGTGGCGCTTCACGCCATGCACCTTGGTCCTTGACGCTTGGCATGCAGGCGGAATAGCAGGAAGGTCAAGCCGACAAGTTAGCGATAACTCCTGGTTGCCTTTTCTGGCATCGCCGCTATACTAATGTTATTCGTTATCCTTCCTCCATGCTTTTTCCCCTTATTTTCGCCATGCCCTGCGCATTCTCCCCATCTTCCTCAGCTCTTTTTTGCGGAGGTTCCTCCTTGGAGAGCCTCTAGGGGCCTCACAAAAGTTGTTTCAAGCTTTCTTAAGGCCTTCTGGAAACCCCCTGGGCGTATTCTGGGGGCCTCTGGGGGCTTCCTCGGGCCACCCTGCCTGCAACCGCGGTCTCCCTGAACGACCGAATCACGATTTGGAATTCTTCGGAGGGTGTCTTTGGGCCATCTTGGGCCGCCACGGGGCTCTCTGAGGACCATCTTGGGCCCGTGTTATGTCGTTTTGGGGTTTTCTTGGACTGCCTGGAAGCCCTTTCGGATGGTTGTGGGGCGATTTTGGAGCCTCCCAGGCGGCTTCGGACGCCCAGAAGACGGCCGTCGTGGAGCGTCGGGAAGCAGAAAAGAGGCGAACCCTAACATCATCATAAACCTATAGAAAAATCAATGTTTTTTGCCTCGGGGGGCCTTTTTGGGAGATTTCTTGGAGGCCTCTTTGGGGCCGTCCTGGAGGCCTCTTGGGCCATCTTGAGGTCACGTCGGTCACTCTTGGAGCGCTCTTGTGCTGGCTTGGGGGTCTCTGGGGCGTCTCCGATGACCCCCCTGATCGCCCTAGGTGTGCCGGGAAGGCTTGGCAAAACGCCATGTGAGGCCCCGTGGCCGCTTCGAGGCCCGTTTGGAGGGTTCCAAAGCCCCAGATCCCGGGAGTCCGGTTTTTTTGGGGGGAACGGGTTTCCCCCCCGCCCGGGTATATATATATATATATATATATATATATAAATAAATATAGGAATATATTTATATATACACACATGTATATATATATATATATACATATACACACACACATATATATATATATATATATATATATCAATCGATCTATCTATCTATCTGTCTGTCTGTCTTTCTATCTATATATCTATCTATGTATATCTATATATGAGAGAGAGGAGCCCAATAAAAAAAGGCGTTTCACGGGCGCTTGCTTTGGGAACGTTCGGCGGCGCGTTTCAAACCGGAGGGGGCCCCCCCCCCCGAACACTCGGCGCCGTCGATCAAAACCAGGGGGGACTCCCCTCTCCCCCAACGCCCCCCCCTCCAGAAGCCCCCCCCCTTCCCAGGGGGGAGGGGGTTCAAAACGTCCCGCCCTCTCCCCTCCCTCGGCGCCGGCGCCAGCGCTGGCGGCCGCCAGCAGCGCCCACGGCGGGGACACGGCGACGATGACCAGAGGCAGCTCAAGGGGGCCAGAACGGGGGGGGTTCAATCTCCCTCCCCCCTGGCGCCGGGGGGGGGGGGGTCCAACCCCCCCCCCGCTGCGCGCCGGCGACGGCGGGGACGCAGCGACGATTACCACCACTACCACCACCGCCACCACTACCACCACCACCACCGCCTCAGCCCACCACCACCACCACCATCAACACCACACAACCAGCACCACCACCACAACCACCACCACAACCACCACCACCACAACTCACCATCACCACCACCACAAAAACCCACCACCATTACCACCACCACCAATCTACCACACCACCACCACCACCACCGCCACAACCACCACCACTACCAGCAGCACAACCCACCACCACCACCAAACACCACACCACCACCAACACCACCACCGCAACCACTTCCGCAATCCACCGCCGCAACCACAACAACCCACCACCACCACCACCACCACCACCACCACAAACCACCACCACACCACCTCAAACCACCACCACTACCACCACACCTCAAACCACCCACCACTACCAACCACAACCAAACCACCACCACCAACACCACCACCACAACCACCACCACCACCACCCACAACCAAAACCAACCAACCACCAACACAAGCAAACCGCCACCACCACCACCACCACAACAAAAAAAACCACTCACCACCACCACCACAACACCACCACCGCTACCGCCACCACCACCACCACCACAACCCACCACCACCACCACCGTCGTCCTCGTCCTCGCTCCCCGCCACCGCTGCCCGCCGCCGAGGCGCCCGGCCGCGCCCGCCCAGAAATGGAAATCGTCGTCCCGCCGCCGTCGCCAGCCAGCCGCCACCTACGCAACGCGCCGCCCCCGAAGAGAGGGGAACAAGGTGGGGGTTTGAAAAGCCCCCCCCCCGTACGGAAGGGGGGGGGGTTGACCCCCCCCTCCGTCACGGGAGGGGGGGGGGGTGTCCGGTTCCGACCCCCCCCCCTCCAAGCGACCACAGAACGCGCTCTTTCACACACACACACACATACGCCTAGGTGTAAGGCACAAGAAGGGGTTGCTTCTGACTCTTCTCTCTTGCCTTCCCAGCCCTTCCGCCGGCGGGCCAAACTTCCAAGCACCAAGGTGCATGGCGCGAAGCGCCAGTGCAGCCTTGTACCTGTACGTACACATATATCTCTATATATATATATATACAAGACTGCAGTGGCGCTCCGCGCCATGCACCTTGGTCCTTGAACTTTGGTACGCGGGCGGAATAGCAGGAAGGTCAAGCCGACAAGTTAGCGATAACTCCTGGTTGCCTTTTTCCGGCATCGCCGCTATAATACTGTTAGTCGTTATCCTTCCTCCATGCTTCTCTTCCCTTATTTTCGCCATGCCCTGCGCATTCTCTCCATCCTCCTCAGCTCTTTTTCGCAAAAGCTCCTCCTTGGAGAGCCTCTAGGGGCCTCACAAAAGTTGTTTCAGGCTTTCTTAAGGCCTTCTGGCGGCCTCCTGGGCGTGTTCCCTGGGCCTCCCGGGGCTTCCTCGGGCCACCCTGCCTCCAACCGCGGTCTCCCTGAACGACCGAATCACGGTTTGGAATTCTTCGGAGGGTGTCTTTGGGCCATCTTGGGCCGCCACGGGGCTCTCTAAGGGCCATCTTGGACCCGTGTTGTGCCGTTTTGGGGCTCTCTTGGACTGCCTGGAAGCCCTTTCGGATGGTTGTGGGGCGACTTTGGAGCCTCCCAGGCGGCTTCGGACGCCCAGAAGACCGCCGTCGTGGAGCGTCGGGAAGCCGAAAAGAGGCGAACCCTAACATTCACCAAAAACCTATAGAAAATCAATGATTTGTGCCTCGGGGGGCCTTCTTGGGAGTGCTCTTGGAGGCCTCTTTGGGGCCGTCCTGGAGGCCTCTTGGGCCATCTTGAGGTCACGTCGGTCACTCTTGGAGCGCTCTTGTGCTGTCTCGGGGGTCTCTGGGGCGTCTCCGATGACCCCCCTGATCGCCCTAGGTGTGCTCGGAAGGCTTGGCAAAACGCCCTGCGAGGCCCGGGGGCCGCTTCGAGGCCTGTCCGGAGGGTCCCAAAGCCTGAGATCCCGGGAGTCCAGTTTTTTTTTGAGGGGGGGGGACGGGGTTTCCCCCCGCCCGGGCTTGTAAAAATGTAAGAAGAGGAATATATACATATATATATAGAGAGAGATATATAGAGAGAGAGAGTGAGAGAGAGTGCGAGAGCGACAAACAACGGTAACGGATGCAAGACCGACGTCGGTTGAATCAGGAAGATGCCATCGGGGACGACGCCGTGGCGACGACAACGGGGGGGCAGGAGCAGGGACAGGAGCGACGACGAGGCAGAGACGGCGAGGGGGGGCCGGGGACCCGACGACGAGGACGGAGCGGCGAAGGACGACGAGGAAAGAAAAAAGCGAGGCCCACGACGGCGGCGACCGAAAAAACACGGCGCGCCGAGGCGAGGGCGACGAGACTCAGCGGTGCGCGGAGGGGCGGCGAGCGGCGCGGCGCCGCGTGCCTGGTCGCGGTTTTCTTGTAGACGATGGCGTGCCTCGCCTCGGTCTGTGGGCGGGGCGCGGAGAGAGAGAAAGGGCTCGCTCGCGCGCGCGAGCAGGCAGGAGGAGGAGGAGGAGGAGGAGGAGGAGGAGGAGCCGGGCCGCGCAACTCTGGCGAGGGAGCAGCGAGGCCCCCCCGCGCGGGCGCGAGGCACGTGAGATCCTGCTCTCGCCGAGTCTCCGGCGGGCCCCGCCGCGAGCGCGCCCTCCTCCTCCTCCTCCTGCTGCTCCTCCTCCTCCTCCTCCTCCTCCTGCTCCTCCTCCTCCCTCCTCCATCGGCATTCTCCTCCTGCTCCTCCTCCTCCTTCTCCTCGGCCTCCTCCTCCTCCTCCTCCTCCTCCTCCTCCTCCAGGCTCTGTAAAACTGTCGCCCGGAAGTGGTGGTCCCGCTCCCGTCGCGGCGCACGTGGTTCGATCGCCGAGTTGCGGGAAGTCGGCAGCGGCAGCGGGGCCGTGCGAGACGGGGCGGCATGCCTCTCTTGCATGGCAGGGAAGGGGCGCATGCTGTAATTATCTTCGCCGCGTGCCTCTGAAATTTGGCCGCGAGAGACAAGACCAAGTTCGGCGGCGAGCCTGGGGGGAAGGTGAGAATGGACGGGCCTTCCCAGAAGGCTCGGAACAAAATCCCCCGGCCATCTGAGAAATGTTCGAGGAGCTTCCGCCGCAGACACATAACACCTCTCAAAAGGCGCATGGGGCTTCTGAGAAGCCCCACCGCCCGCTCAGAAGGCCTTCTCCTTCTCACTTCCCCCCATCACTTGCCGACGATACGAACAAGGTGCGCGGGCATCGGTTCACATGGAGGAGGGGGAGGAGGAGGACAAGGACAAGGACATCCGCATAAAGGGGGTAGAACGTCAGAGCGCCCACTCAGGCGAACCACGCGCTACTGCCCAAATCCCCTGCGATTTGTTGTGCTACAGCCCTGCCTTCTCACCTGGGCCGACATGGGTCGGAGGACGAGGAGGAGGAGGAGGAGGAGGAGGAGGAGCCCTGGCATCGGCTCTCATGCTGTATGAGGGGGACTGGTAGTGGGTGTGGGGGCCCTGCCGGCTCGTTCGGCCCGGCCAGCCCCGGTCCCGAAGTCGAGCGACTCTGAGCGCACGCGTGCTGGGCAGATGCGCACGCAATGCACGCAAGCTCGGCTTGTGCTGACCCGCCGAGCGGTTCCGCGTCTTGCGCGCGGCACAACAGACAGCGCCATCTGAGGCGACGGCCTCCCACGTGCCGTGCATGAACAAGACGGCGTGCCGAAGCAAATGCCGCGGAACGATACATGAAACGCGTGCTGGCGATTCTCTGACATCGCCGACAAGACTTGCTGCGTCAAAATACTCTTACTCCTCCCCCCTCCCCCAAGATAGTCAAGCGCGTTCCACTCCTCGCAGAGTCACCACTCGCAGATGGCCCCGATCCGCCGTGGGGGAGCTGCAGTCTACCACACCGCGGCGGACGTGCTTTCATTGTTTTTGATTTTGACGCTTGCGAGTAGGCACTTCGCGAGTTATGGGAGCGCGCTCGGGGACAAGACGACAGCCGACAGAAACGACGAGGACGCCCGCCAGGAGCCCGAGAACGACGACCAAGACGACGAGGAGAGATCCGGGATAAATGGCGCGGTGGGCGAGGGCAGAGCTCCCACTCCTCCGCCTCCTTGCTCTGCTCCCCCCTCCTCCTCCTCCTCCTGCGGCTGGCTTCCTCCTCCTCCTCCCCTCCTCCTCCTCCTCCTCCTCTTTACCTGTCCTGCTCCTCCTCCTCCTCCTCCCCCTCCTCCTCCTCCTCCTCCTCCCTCCTCCTCCTCCGCCTCCTCTTCCTCCTCATCCCTCCGTCCTCCCTCCTCCTCCTACCCTCCTCCACACGCCTCCTCCTCCTCCCCTCCGCCCTACCTCCTCCTCCTCCTACTCCTCCCTCCTCCTCATCCTCCTCCTCCTCCTCCTCCTCTCCTCCACCTCCTCCTCCTCCTCCTGCTCCTGCCTCCTCCTCCTCCTCCTCCCCCACCTCCTCCTCCTCCTCCCCTTTCCTCCTCCTCCTCCTCCCCCTCCCCCCTCCCTCCTCCTCCTCCTCGTCCTCCTCTCCTCCCACCTCCCCTCGCCCTCCCCCTCCCGCCTCCGCCTCCGCCTCCTCCTCCTCCTCCTCCTCCTCCTCCTCCTCCTCCACCTCCCCTCCTCCCCCTCCTCCTCCTCCTCCTCCTCCCTCTCCTCCTCCTCCTCCTCCTCCTCCTCCTCCTTCCTCCTCGTCCTCCTCCCCTCCTCCGCCTCCTCCCTCCTCCTCCTCCTCCTCCTCCTCCTCCTCCTCCCCCCAACCACCCGCCCCAATCCTCCTCCTCCTCCACCTGATCCTCCTCCTCCTCCACTCCTCCTCCTCCTCTCCCTCGTCGTCCTCCTCCTCCCTCCTCCTCTCCCCTCCTCCTCCATCTCTCCTCCCCCCCTCCTCCTCCTCCCTGCTCCGGCTCCTCCATCTCTCCTCCCTCCTCGTCCTACACTGCGTACACCGCTCTCTCTCTCTCTCTCTCTCTCCACCTCCGCCCTCCCCCACCTCCTCCTGCCTGCCCCACGGGTGCCTGGGAAAACGACGTCGCCCCCTCTTCGCCTGCCCCGTCAGCCGCCCCGCGAGACGCCAAGCGAGTCGCGGCCTCTGGCCGCCGCAGCACCCACCCTGACCGTTCAAAAGGCCTCTGCTGCCTTTGAATTGCGGCCTTTTCCTTGTTTTTCAAGAAGATGGAGCGCGACCGCACAGCTTCACACTGCTCGGCCTCAACCGCGGTGCGCATGGAGCTGCCGCCAGGCAAACCAGAATTCAGAATAAAAAAAAACAGAAGAAAAAGAAAAAAAAAAAAGAGAAAAAAAAAAAAGAAAAAAAAAATAACAAAGAAAAAAACCCCAGAAAAAAAAAAAAAAAAAAAAATGAAACAAATAAAAGTTAAAAAAATAAAAAAAAAAAAAAAAAAAAAAAAAAAAAAAAAAAAAAATAAAAAAAAAAAAAAAAAAAACAAAACTAAAAAAAGAAAAAAAGAATCAGAAAAGAAGAGAAGCGAGGTGGCCTGCGATACGTCAGCGCATGCACGGAATCGCGGCCTGAAACAGGGGATCTGTCGGGCCTGTCCCCCTAAAGGGAGATTTTGGGCTAAACATACACCAAAAAACTCCCACCTAGTAAAAACATGGTGGAAAAATACTCCCCAGACTATTTTTTTACTATTTTTGAATTTCCCCCCTGTAGAGGGACAGGCCCGACTTAAAACAAGGGATACGAGCGTGCCGCCGCAGCCAGACTTCTCACGAATCCCCCTCGCGCCGTCTTCATCAGCGGTGCGAGCCTTAGTGGGCCCCGGAAACGGCAGGGCCGTTTTTTCACCGACTCCGAGAAAGTGTCCCTTCAAAATGGAAACGGCAAAAAAACGGCGACCGGAAACAGCAAAAAAAACGGCTCCAGAATTGGAACCCGAGCCAGAACCGGTCAAACAACGGCGACGGAACCGGTAAAAAAACGGCGTCGGAACCGGCAAGAAAACGGCAAAATGGAACCGGTAAAAAACAGCCCTGTCGTTTCCAGGGCCCACTAAGGTGCGAGCTCCCCTGATGGGCCACGCGAAAGACAGGAGGACCCAGACCTCCCCACTTCGCGCAGCTGCGCCCCGCGATGTGCGCCCCGGGCGACTGCTCTCGCGCGCTCGCGCCGCCGCCCTGGAGGGAGGGGCACCGCTCCAGCACTCCGCGGGCATTCGAGCGCCCCGCGGGCGACCTGGTGTACGGTCGGACTCGATTGGACAGGACACGCGAGAGGACACAAGACCCTTCCGAGGGCCACCTTGCCACAGGAATTTAGGAAGCATGGGTCGCGAGACGCAGGACACAAGGGTGCCCTTGATTTGGCAGGGTCCACCTACTAATCTAGGCCGACTGTACGGACACCAAAACTTCTTGTGCCATGGGAGCCTCCACTGTCGTCTTGTCGGCACTTGCGAATCAACGATCACCGGCGCTACCCGACGCTAATCGACGCTCAAGCGACGCTGAATGGGCGCTGCCTCATCGCTTACCACACGCTGACGCACGCTTAGGCACTCTGAATACGGAATCCCACCAGCCCTCGGGGCTTAGATGGTCTATCGATGTTTCTCGTGCCTCTTTTAAACCCCCCATGCCCTTCGGGGAGGAATACCCTCCCCCTCCCCTCACTGACGTGTTTTCTGGGGGGGTCGAGAGGTGCCAGGGGGTCATTGTTCGCCAAAGATGGCTCCAAGAGGGCATCCGATGCGATGCTCCGAGATGGCAACCAAGATAGCTCAAGATAGCCGACGATGGCACAAGATGGCTTCCACCTCGCTTCAAGAGGCCCCAACGATCGCTCCCAGACCAAGAAGGCTCCTATACAGCCCCAGCGACGCCAAGAAAGGCCCCACGAAGACCCCAGAAGATTGCTGCCAGCCTCATTCATATCGTCCTCGTCGTCATATTCCTCCTCCTCGGCATCCTCATCGTTCCAGTGCTCGTCCTCTTGGTCCTTCTCCACCTCCTCCTCGTCCTCGTCCTCCTCCTCTTCCACCTCCTCCTCGTCCTCTTCCTGCTCCTCCTCGTACCTCTCTGGGCAGATGCTCCACTGCACGCTGCGTCTACCCTTTCTTGAAGAAGGCAACTCGCCTGGGCATCGCTTCGATATCTCTCCCGCCCCTGCAATGTATGGCCTGGTGGTAATTCGCGAAACGTGAAAACAAACATCGAGGATATGCTGACCTCCCATGGATGGCAACCGAACCAACCCACCACATCCGTTTCCCCCCCCTGCCGCTCCAGCGACGTCGTCGCGCCGCTACCCGCGCCGAATCAACATCGAACTTGTCGCAACTGAGTCGGACACATGTCGAACCACCGTCATATCCACGTCGACCACGCGTCGGATCTGCGCCGAGCCCGCGTCGGGCAATAGAGCAGCCAACTGCAATCTGTAGGACAGACAAGCCAACCCCACGGAAATGCGCAAAATGACCCACCCACCCCCCGCTGTCTCCCCCCACCCTCCTCCTCCCTCTCCTCCTCTCCCCTCATTCTCCTCCCCCTCCTCCCCCTCCTCCCCCTCCTCCTCTCTGCTCCCCTCCTCCAGCTCCTCCTTCCTCCACCCTCTCCTTCTCCTCCTCCTCCCACCTCCTCATCATCATCATCCTCCTCACCCTCCTCCTCTACCCCTCCTCCCCTTCAATCCTCCGTCCTCCCTAGCTCCCTTCTTTCCTTTCCATCCTCCCTCCCTCCTCCTCCTTCTCCTTCTCTTCCCCTCCTCCCCCTCCTCCTCCTCCTGGCTCCTCCTCCTCCTGCTCCTCCTCCTCCATCCTCCTCTCCCTCTTCCTCCTCCTCCTCCTTCTCCTCCTCTTCCTCCTCCTCCTCCTCGTCCTCCTCCGCCTCCTCCTTCTCCTCCTCCCCCTTCTCCTCTTCCTCCTCCTCCTCCTCCTTGCCCCTGCCGCTCCAGCGGGGGGCCGCCTCGTACTTCGCGGCGTCGTCCAGCCGCTCGAGCGCCCTCTGCCGCTGCCTCTCCCTGGCGGCCTGCGGGGCGACGCCGGCGTGCACCCCGCCGCGGGGGCCGGCCGCCCGCAGCCTCGCGCAAGCGCGCGCGCAAATCTGCGCGTGCTTTTTTGACGAGCAGGGTCGGGCGACAAGCGCTGCCGCAAGCGCCCCGAAGAGGCGCCCGACTCCGTCGGGCACCTTGGGGAGCTGCGCGATACGCCGCGCCGCCAGCGCCGCGAATTCGGAAACGCCGCCCCCAGCGCAGCGCACGTCATGCAGCAAGAGCAGGGCTTGCCCCCGCGCCGGCAGCCGCAAATCTGCGTGTGCACGCCCACGCGCGGGCTTCGCGCGGGTCCGCAGCCATCGCCGCGCGGGGGACTCCCGAGCGTGCGGGCCGCGGAGGGGGCGTGCTAAGCGCGCCTGGCACGGCTGCCCTCCCCCCACGCACTGGCATTGTGGCAGTCGACTCATGGGGAGGGAGCGTGCTGCCAGATAACTTCCTGATGTCTCACAGATGTTTGAACTATGTATTGGACATGAGAGATTTAGCCTGGCGAGGGACCCAACCATATGCAGTTGTGAATACGGCAAATATGAATATCGTTTTCGGTGGCGCTACCTCTGGGTGGGGGAACCGCATGCGAACACCCCCACTGGGGCCTACGGTGGAGCTCCCTATGAGGCCACGAAGCGCTGCCCTGGGTGGGAGAACCGCATGCGGGCACGCCCACTGGGGCCTACGGTGGAGCTCCCTATGGGGCCACGAAACGCTGCCCTGGGTGGGGGAGCCGCATGCGGACACTCCCACTGGGGCCTACGGTGGAGCTCCCTATGAGGCCACGAAACGCTGCCCTGGGTGGGGGAACCGCATGCGAACACCCCCACTGGGGCCTACGGTGGAGCTCCCTATGGGGCCACGAAGCGCTGCCCTGGGTGGGGGACCCGCATGCGGACACCCCCACTGGAGCCTACGGTTGAGCTCCCTATGGGGCCACGAAACGCGACCCTGGGTGGGTGAACCGCATGCGGAAACCCCCACTGGGGCCTACGGTGGAGCTCCCTATGGGGCCACGAAACGCCACTTGGGCCTACGGTGGAGCTCCCTATGGGGCCACGAAGCGCTGCCCTGGGTGGGGGAACCGCATGCGGACACCCCCACTGGGGCCTACGGTGGAGCTCCCTATGGGGCTACGAAACGCTGCCCTGGGTGGGGGAACCGCATGCGGACACCCCAAGGAGGGGGAGGGAGGGAAGGAAGGAGGAACGCGGGGACTGTCTCTTCAAAACGAGGACCCAACACCACAGAATGGTTGGGAAAAACTTGTTTGAAGCATATTTAGAACACGTTTTACACGTTGTACACACGTCTTTAATGCAATGACTGGACTGTTAATCAGGGTGCAGTGTCATGGCATCCACAACGCTTGCACGTGTGCATGTGCTTGTGTGTTCGTGTGCTTGCTGCGCGCGCGCGGGCGAGCACCCGCCCGCCAGCGCGCGCGTGGGGGGCCCGCCTGCGCGCGCGTCCGCGCCTGCCTACGGGCACGTGCGGACGGGCGCGGTCGTGCGTGCAGCTTAGGCGCTCGGTGCGGCGGGGGCCGCAACAACCGACGGGGGCCAAAAGGTGCCGGAAAAGACCTCCATTGCAGGACCGGTGCGCCCTTCTTCCCCCCCTACGGCCCCGACGTCGCACCCATGGGCCCAAGAGGTGGTGTAAGGGTGCGTTTCGTTTCCCCCCGTGTAGCTCACCCCTTGAGGTCCTCCACTTCAAGACGGCCCAGGCCCTGCTGCTTCAACGCAGCTCGCATGCTCTCCTTCGGCATCCCCGCGCCGACTTACATGTTTTGAGCGGGTTCCTTCTGTCTCTTCTCGCGTTCTTTTCCCGTTCGCTTTCGTGCCCCAGTTCGCCTCCAGTGCGCCCCGCCGATTGCTGACCAGCGCTGGACTGTCTTCGACCATTTGGCACCCACGGACTTATCAAGTGTAGCTCAACCCCGTGAACGGCGTTCGAGTGCGTGTGCACGTGAGCGTTGGGGCACAGCGTGTGCGCGAAGACGGTGCGATTTTCGCTCGGAAGCCTGGTGGCGCGACGACACGCGCGAGGGGGGGCGTGTCAGGCACGCCTGGGCCTCCGAGACCGCCTCCTCCAACCTCCTCTCGGCGAC